CCAGCTCTGCATCATCTTTCTGGGATGTCATCGTAGAAGGAAGCGACGTTCTCTGTTACGCCGAGTACTGTGCCTGGAGCAACTCGTGAGCTCGTTGGAGATTGTTGTACTTTTGAAGCATCTCATCTTCTTGAGCATGGGGTATGAGAGTCTGATGATGTTGCTGAAGAAACTGAAGCACAAGATTGCCCAAGTGATCGTGGACCTTGATCCGCTGATTGAAGTCATCAATGTTGAGTCCCAGCGAGTTGGCTAAGTCCTTTTCCAAAGTAAGCAGGTTGAGTGGCTGAGATCGACGGAGCAACTTCGAACAGGTACTCCACAGCAAGGCCTCGGCGCGGGTGCGAAATCCTTCTCGCGTCACGAATCTCCCGTGAGCAAATGGCCTCAGTAGCCAGTTAGAGATGCCACCGTGAATGACCTGAACCAACCGAACGTCCCGGATGTCCATGCCCGACATATCCCGTTGCGTATTATGTGGGGTAATGGCGACCGTCATGGGCAGGCTGAAGGAGTAGAGCTGGTTCTTGTCCAACATGCCGTCACCAGGTTGCCACTCTTCCGGTGGAGTAAGCCATGCCTTCTGAGGCTGCACTGGCAGCGTGGCCGGATAGCCAGGCGCTGTCGTTGTTTGTGAAGGATGGACTTGTGCGTGGCCAGGAGGCGGCATCATCGACCTCACGGCCCTCGCCGGTGCAGGTTCCGGAGGGAACAGCATCATGTAGTTGACCGCAGGGTGCTGATAGAGCTGCGATGACGAGGGATTCGGCTGGTAGTTGCTTTGTGTCATTGGAAAGGCATTGGGAGCGTTGTAGCTCGGATTGTGTTGCCAGGTCATCAGGTTGTTCCAATCCATGCCGTCCGAGACCAAGGTGTCGTCCTGATCACGTCTGCGTGCTTTGCAAGGAGGTGAAGATGGGCTCCTATCCTGTCTGCGCCGAGTTCTAGATCTGTCACGATCATCCCGTCGAGACATGGTGGCACAACAAACTCAAAACCGCGACAACTCAATCTCGAGAAAATCGAATCCGACAAGATGCAAGTCAATGCAAGTTCAAGCCAAGCACAGATCAACACGCGGTCATGCAGCCAACAGCAGCAATTGTGAGACTTAGCTAATTATGATCTGACGGCTGTCTTCCCTTTAGTGAAACCTCGTTCCTGCTTAAATCGTGAAATTCCGCTGGACTATGATATGAACGTTGAGGTCAAATTTTCCGGCGAACCGGCCCGGGTCACACGATGGGTACACCCGAGGTTCCTCCAAGCAGGGGTAGTCACACTTCAACTCCCAAGGGAGGGTGCTGATCATTCGAGTACAACTGATGAGTCTCGAGTACAACTGATGAGTCTCGAGTACAACTGACGAGTCTCGAGCGCGATAAGTTTCGGCTCGCAGGTCACTCAGCTTCACTCTAGTTACTTGAACAGAGAATCAAGGAAGCAACGGCGGTTCAGGGAGGGGACCAAAAGGACATTCACAAACATCACAATTGCAGGTACGTCCAACGGCGTCCTGTTGGATTTCACCAGCAAAGAAGGGCGTCTTCGTTGGCGCAGGTCCCTTCGATGCTGCCCGCGCCCCCTGCTGAAGAAAAAGTGTTGGTGGCAGGGTTTTCTGCCACTCCCCACACACACACGAGAAAGAGATGACACAATTGCAGAAGGCAGTACAGGCAAGCAACAGCGCGCCACTACAGAAAAACAATCACTTGAACGTCCAAAATGAAAGAATTCTACTGGAACCGATCCTATCTGATACAGAAGACCTGGATCCACAATTGGTGTCACAAGGAATGAAGAAAGAGGTACAACAATGAAAGACCAATCAGTCTTTACAGAGATTGATGGCAACACCGTGACACCAGAACAACGGTCAAACATCATTGAATCAAGATGGGTCCTCAAGCAAAAGAACAACGAAGTACGAGCACGAATTGTAGCAAAAGGCTACACAGAACCCGTTACAGACCACGATCTACTCTTTGCCAGTACACCACTGTTTTGTATACTGACAGTTCTTCTCACAATGGCATTGGTGTACAACTGGTCAGTCTGCACAAGAGATGTGAGTGTTGCATTTCTACATGCAGCAGCAACCTCATACAATTTGGTAATGAGACCACCGCCCGAGTTCTACAACGAAGAAAACGGACACATAATGTGGCGACTGAACACAGCCATCTACGGTTTAAGATCATCACCAACACAATGGCAAGACCACATTGCACACATCCTTACAGTCACACTTGAACTTGGGAGATGCACAATAGAATTCAATGTTTACAGGTCAAAAGACTGCCTAGTCTACATCATGATATATGTAGACAACACCCTATTCATAGGAGTACAAAACATGGTCAACACACTGTTCAGCAGAATACAAAAGGAAGTACTATTGAGGCACACAGGTGACATCAATAATACATTTCCTTGGCAGGAACATCTCACATAAAGGCAGCTACACCGACATCGTCAGGAATGACTACATGCAACCCAGCACCATCACCAGGAGTGTCACACATGAAAGGTACAGCAGAAGATGAACCACTCGATCACGAGCAACACAAGCAATACAGGCGGCTTGTTGGCAAGATACAATGGCTAGCATACACACGACCAGACATCAGCTATGGAGCAAAGGAACTAGCAAGATCACTACAATCACCAACACAGTTTGACAACAAGAAGCTCAAGCACATGATCAGGTACCTTAAAAGCACAAGGTACAGGCGACACAACCTAAGACCAAAAATACAGATACCGGACAAGCGAATTCCACTCAACATTGACATACCAACTGGGCATCTTGCGAGACAACAAGGAAGAGCACGACAACAGGATTTGTGTTATACTTCTTTGGAGCAGCAATACACTATGGCAGCAGAACACAAGCAACAATAGCACTTTCATCAGCAGAATCAGAGCTGTACGCAATTGGCACAGCAGCACAGGAGAGCCTTTACATCAGCAACTTCATCAAAGAAGCATTTGAAGTACGCACCAACATAAGGATACACACAGACAGCAGCGCAGCAAAATCAATAGCAATGAGATAAGGTACATCAAAGAAAGCAAAGCACATCGAGCTGCGACACCTCTTCATACAGCAACTTGTCAAAAGCAAAATCATCACAATGCACAAAGTAAGACCAGAGGACAATCCAGCAAACTTACTAACAAAGCTTGTCAGCTGTGATATCCTCAACAAGCACATGTGCACCGTTGGCCTGTGAGGCCCCAGCACAACAAGTCTCACACTGTGTGCGCAGTATGTTAAACAACAGTTGCACAGTTCACACACGTGTGTGTTTCACAACTAAACGGCCGGCACATATTGGTTTGCTTTAGGTTAGGTACAGCCATGCACCTACCCTGGAGTCAAGACAAACTTTTGGGTTAGATACATAACATTGGATCTACCCTTGCTTCTACAACCGCTTCGACTACCTCTGTTACATCTTTTGGGATGCTCTTTTCCACGACAGTCTGTACATGTTTCTGACAATGTGTTGGTACATGCTGCAGCCATTTACATTTGCGGTGTACAGTGCGCCTCTAGGCCTTCAGCCTTACATCGATGGCTCACAGAGCTTACAAGACCCGATGACAGTGCCCGAAGGGTTCACATCGGAACTGGTCGATGGTAACATCCCGGTTGCACCGGATGAGCCTTACAATTACACAACGGTGATGATTCCGCTTACAGTGGAGCAATACCGTTCATAACAACCACTGTCACAACTCAGCCGAATGAGGCACAGAAGATCCCTGGCTACATGACTGCCTTGGATACGTCAGTTGGTTGATACATGAGGGTGTGGACAGTACGGCGGACAGGAGCACAAGCTTGTGCACAAGATCAGCCTACAGACGGATAAACTGTTTCAGAAGGTTTCCAAGAAAAGGGTTACATTGTTGAACAGAGGTTACATTGGACAAGTCCTGCAGTTACATCAGGATTGTACATGGACTTTGTCACCTATTGAAAAAGCATCGGGTTCGCTTTACAAGGTGAAAGGTCACATCACAAACCTGTACAAGAATTATAATAACAATCTGACAAAGGATTACATGGTCCTCCAGCACATCATTATTCCAATTCAGAAGGTTTTGGAGACAGAGGATCCGCTTGACCACATACATGCTGGATTTTCGATGGCTTTGAGCTGCGGTACAGGCTATCAGCTAGCCATTGAAGGCACGAGCCATTGAGCACATCGTGCAGCATGGCATACAGTTGAGTGGCAACAACGTGGCTTTGATTCCTGGACAGATTGGATACAGCAAGAAGTGGACAGAACAGTGATCCTTTCGCAACAGCAAGGATACAAGTTGTTGAACAAGAAGAAGATCATGGGCGAAGGCATTTGAGGAGTACATCATGTACTTGCCTAAAGAGGCACACCGGACACTTGGGAAGGTACAGTTACAGTGTTTTGATGGTACAGCAGCCGACACCTGAGGGACACCGCTGTACAGTCAGATACTGACATGAGATCAGTCACTGGCTTACATCATCCTGAAACATTAGGCTAGCAGTGCATTCGGAGTGTACAGTTGTACAATCCGAGAGGGGGTGTTAAGTACAAGCCACTGTACAAATACATGCACATCCCTCTCCGCTGTTTGGTACAAGGCCTTGAGCCTACAGCACATTGCCCCAGATAGGAAGGACTACAACTGTGCCGAGTCGTTCACATCACAGGTTTACACATTCAGGCTTTAACAAGTATACATATATGTGTTATATGTATACGTATATATATATATATATTATGTGAATATCTTGAGGTTTGTATACTGACATATAGATTCCATTCCCAGTACGGCGCCATGCCCTAGCTTCAAAATATGATAAGAAGGAGGAGAAGAGCAAGTAGAACAAGAAGCAGAAGCAGCACAATGCAAAACAAGGTGGCCAAGCAGCAAAGAATTTTACACGCCCAACCCCACCTCACCTCACCCCGCCCCCCGCCCCGATCGCTGGGTGCCCCTGCGCTGTGCCCGAGTGCATCCACAAACAGCCGCAGCTGCGGGGCACTGCGCAGCAGGAAAAGGCTCCATGCCTCATGGCTCCGGGCAACTGTTTCTATAACTCTAGGTGTAACTCATGTACATTATTTCCAGGGATCCTTCTTGCTAGAAAACCACCAAAAACCCTGGGGAAACAGCTGGTGTTTGAAAAGAACGATGGCTGAAAAGAATGGGGAATCAACCCCGAGAATAACTCACTTCCGATCGAGTGGATCGCTTCACAAAAAAGGGCCCGGAAAGTTGCATGTCCATGCAGAACTCTCAAATGCCTTGTTGATAAACCACCAGGGTTCCAGCGGCCTTTTGGTCTCACAGTATTTTACAATCTTTCCGACAATCCTGGCTGATAGGGGCTCTTTTACACGCCCTCCGCAGCCAAAAATGGCAAAGGCTTGCCCAGTTCCACATGCCGCCCAAAAGCCAACTGCGCGTGGAGCTGGTCTCAAAATACTCACAGTAGCCGTGGGGGGAAGCCTAAAATCGACGACTTTCCTTTTTGCTTCCTTGAAAGCAACCCCAAAATGGTTCCCTGCCCCCCCCCAAAAAAAACAAAAACTGAAAAGAACAACACGCGCTTTATTCTTGCAGAACCACCACCTGTGGGATTCATCATGGATAAAGCTAAAAGCAACTGCCCTTTGGGGCAGAAAATCGGCGTCTTACCCTCTGTCCAATTTTGGGAGTGGACAGCCCGGCTTTTGAAAGTCTGGCTTTCGAAAAACTCACTTAGATCCAGGTGGAACATCACCCGACATCTGCCTGCGTGGCCGTATTTCCATAGCGGAGGAAGTTATCGCACAAGGCGAGTGGAACTCCCCAATGGGGTTCATGCGTGTTTCCTTTCCAAGCAAACCCAACACACACACACACACCCCTCAGCTTTGACACGCCCGGATGACTGGTACCCCTCCATTCTCAGGAAATTTCAACGGAGTGGATCCGGGTCTAGGAGTCTAGGTGCTGGGCCCACCTGCCCCGCTTGGCGCAGGCGCCTGAGTCGAATGGGACCCACACCCATCTGGTGGCCTGGGAAAACTGAGAACAGAAACCATTGGGCCATGGGCTATACAGCCGTGGTTGATAGGATTCCCGTTTTTCGCCGAATCATGTGAACCAGCCTTTCTGAGTTCGATTGGTTCCTGATGAGAACTAGATCACTTTCAGGGGCAAATGTGTCTATCCCGTCAGGTTTGTGAAGTCAGGTAGGCTCTACCCTCCCACCAGCTAACATAGAACTTATGAAACGGTTGCTTCTTTAGGGAAAAATGGTACAACGTGGGGACCTCCAGTCAGATTCCACACCACGTGGGACGTGGGAAAGCCACGGCTCACTTCAACCATGGCAGGCGAAACTGAAGGACCTTTGGTCGGAGAAGTCGCCAAGCTCAATTGCAACAAGTGTGAACCCAATAAGATTTTGACGCGCAGACCATAAATCAAGCAAACCTGTAGTTCACACACACACACAAACTTACTTGGGATTTGAAGGCAGAATGTACAAACAAAGTGTCCTAGCATGAAATTGGTCAAATAAAGTGTCCTGCCAAGCATCAAAAAGAACACAAAAGGAACGGACGGCCAAGTGATCCCCAATCTGAATTCAGAGGCTCCGTTTCAGAGGCTGGCCGATTTGTTTTGTCTCGAGCAGGGTCTAAAAATGGACAGAACTAGAAAACAAAAAAATCACTGAAAACATGCCAACAACAGTGAAGACGAGCGAACTCCTCTTCACAGGCTGACTTCACAATGGCTTCCTGCAGGGCCCCTGCCCTGGCCAAACAAACCCAGGCACCACGGTGTTGTTGAGCTGGTGAGACCCTTCAAAAAGATGGAAGGGATGTATGCGCTTGCTATCGTTGTTGTTGGCGGCGCTACTGTTACTGCTGCTGCTGCCTCCGCGGCGGCTGCGATTGTTGTTGCGGTTGCCGTTGCTGTTGCTGTTGTTGGTGGTGGTAGTGGTGGTGCCGGTGTCCGCGTCGCTGTCGGTGTTGACGGTGGCCTTCACGACGCCGTTGCGGTTGCTGTCGTCGCCGCGTCGTTGTCGGTGTCGGTGTCGGTGTCAGGGTCATTGGCGTTGCCGCGTTTCTTCTTGTTCTTCTTGTTGTTTTTAGTATTCTTGTTGTCCTTGCTGTTAGTCTTGTTGTTGTCCTCATCGTTGTCGTCGTCGTCGCCGCCGCGGCTACTGCTGAGGTTGTTGGTGTTATTTTGGTGTTCTATTTTGTTGCTGCTGCTGCTGCTGCTGCTGCTGCTGCTGCTGCTGCTGCTGCTGCTGCTGCTGCTGCTGCTGCTGCTGCTGCTGCTGCTGCTGCTGTTTTTGTTGTTGTTGTTGTTGTTGTTGTTGTTGTTGTTGTTGGTGTTGTTGTTGTTGTTGTTGTTGTTGTTGGGTGTAGTTGGTTGTTGTAGTTGGCTGTTGTTGTTGTTGTTGTTGTTGTGGTGGTGGTGGTTGTTGCGGTTGTTGTTGTTGGTTCTTGTTGTGGTTGCGGTTGTGGTTGTGGTTGTTATTGTTGTTGTTGGTGCTGGTGGTGTTGTTGGTTATTGTTGTGGCTGTTGTTGTTGTTGTCGTCGTTGTTGTTGTTGTGTTGTTGTTTTGTTGTTTTGTTGTTTTGCTGTTTTGCTGTTTTGCTGTTTTGTTGTTGTTGTTGTTGTTGTTGTTGTTGTTGTTGTTGTTGTTGTTGTTGTCGTTGTTGTTTTGTTGTCTTGTTGTTTTGTTGTCTTGTTGTTTTGTTGTTTTGTTGTTTTGTTGTTGTCAATTTTGTGCTCTTGCTGTTGTTGTTGCTGTTGTTGTTGCTGTTGTTGTTGTTGCTGTTGTGTTTTTGTCGTTGGTGTTAATTTTGCTGGCGGGTGTGGGGTTTTGGCTGTTGTTGGTTGTTTTTGTTGCGGTTGATGTTGGCCGCCGTTGGTTATTGTTGTTGTTGCTGCTGCTGTTGCTGGTGGTATTGTTGTTGTTGTTGTTGTTGGTGGTGTTGGTGTTGTTGTTGTTGCTGTTGTTGCTGCTGCTGTTGTTGTTGTGGTTGTTGTGGTTGTTGTGGTTGTTGCGGTTGTTGTGGTTGTTGTGGTTGTTGTGGTTGTTGTTGTGGTTGTTGTGGTTGTTGCGGTTGTTGTTGTTGGTTGTTGTTGTGGTTGTGGTTGTGGTTGTAGTTGTTATTGCTGTTGTTGTTGTTGGTGGTGGTGGTGTTGTTGGTTGTTGTTGTGGCTGTTGTTGTTGTTGTTGACGTTGTTGTTGTGTTGTTGTTTGGTTGTTTTGGTGTTTTGTTGTGTTGTTGTGTTGTTGTTGTCGTTGTTGTTGGTGGGTTGTTGTTGTTGGTGTTGTTGGTGTTGTTGGTGTTGTTGTTGGTGTTGGTGCTGTTGTTGTTGTTGGTGTTGTTGTTGTCCCTGCTGTTCTTGTTGTTGTTGGTGGTGCTTGTTGTTGCTTGCTGTTGTTGCTGCTGGTATTGTTGCTGCTGTTAGTAGTGTGTTTTGGCTGCGGTTGCAATTGTTGTTGTGGTTGTTGTTATGGTTGCAGGTTGTGGTTGGGGTTGCAGTTGTTGTTGGCTGTTGTTGGTTGTTGTTGGCTGCTGTTGTGGCTGCTGTTGTTGTTGCTTGTCCTTCTTGCCGTTCTTGTTGTTACTGTTGTTCTTCTTGGTGTTGTGGTTGTTGGTGTTGGTGTTGTTAACGTTGTCGTTGTCGTCGTCGCTGCCGCTCCTGCTGTTGTTCTCGTTATTGTTGTTGTCGTGGTTGTTGCTGCTGTTGTTAATGGTTGTGCTGATGCTAATGCTAATGGTGTTGTTAATGTTGTTGTTGCTGTTGTTGTTGCTGGTGTTGCTGGTCTTGCTGGTGTTGCTGGCGTTGCTGGCGTTGCTGGTGTTGCTGACGTTGCTGGTGTCACTGGTGTAGCTGGTGTTGCTGGTGTTGGTGCTGTTGTTGCCGTTGTTGTTGCTCTTGTTCTTGTTGCTATTGTTCTTGTAGTTCCTGTCGTTCTTGTCGTTCTTGTTGTTCGTGTTGCGGGCTGTTGGGTGGTTGACGTTGGTTGTTGGTTGTTGGTTGTTGGTTGTTGTTGGTGTTGGTGTTGGTGGTGGTGTTGGTGATGTTGTGGCTGTTGTTGTTGTTGTTTGTGTTGTTGTTGCTGTTGCTGTTGCTGTTGGTGGTGTTGTTGGTGTGTTTGGTGTTGTTGGTGTTGCTGGTGTTGTTGTTGGCGGTGTTGTTGTTGGTGATGGTGGTGGTGTTGTTGTTGTGTCTGCTGTTGCTGTTGTTGTTGTTCTTCTTCTGCTTCTTCTTCTTGTTCTTCTTGTTCTTGTTATTGTTCTTGTTCTTGTTGGCTCTGGTCTTGGTTATGGTTTTGTATTTCTGTTTTTGCTTTTGTTGTCACGTGTTGATAAAAGGCTGTGCTACGGCGGCCATTTTGCTCCTCGGCAAGATCCTGACCCACTGCGTTTTACAGTAAAAACTGCGCATACACCACCTGGAAAGGTGAACAAAACCAGGGTTTCGTGCCTCCGACCCGACAAACGCAATGACTTTTCAGCGTAAGGTTGAGACCTTTCTGACAATTCTTCAATAAGCTCACAATCATCTTTCAATGTGCTTCTCCAAACAATACTGAATACGTACTGCAGCAAACGACGGTTGACGCCTTGGCCACGCCCTGCTTGGCTATTCACGGAACTGGGCAAAAACTTCTGAAGAGATTGCCAGTAGCGGTCTATGCACTGACAAGGCGCTTGGGAACCTTCCCGCGCTTCACGGTGCGTGTCCACTCATTCTTGTCATGCTTCACATGGAAGGAGACAAGTCAAAGTTGTTGCCAGCAGATCGAAATCAAGAGGAATTCGGCAGGACAAGGAGGAGGTAATTAGAACGAACAAAGGCAGTCGCCGGGTCCGTACCAGTCAGAGTTAGCATGTCAATGCGGGAGCAACACGAAGCAGCGAGCACACTCGGACGGCACAGCCAGCAAGCCTCGGCAAAAGAACAAGAGAAAGCGCAAAAGCGGCGCAAGAAGAGGTGTCGGAGCCGCTGAGCGGTTAAGGCAGCGGCCACGCAGCTCGTGAACGATGTCGCTACAATCCGCCCCCCCCCCCCAACCCCCCACCCCAGCCCCAAGCAAGCGACGAAACCTGCAAAAACACCATGGCCTAATATTAGCACGCCTCCTTGTTGTTGTTGTTGCTGTTGCTGTTGCTGCTGCTGTTGCTGTTGGTGCTCTTGCTGTTGCTGTTGCTGTTGCTGTTGCTGTTGCTGTTGCTGTTGCTGTTGCTGTCGTTGTTGTTGTTGTTGGTGTTGTTGTTGTTGCTGGTGATGTTGGTTTTGTTGTTGCTGCTGCTGCTGCTGTTGTCGTTGTTGCTGCTGTGCGTGTTGCTGGTGTTGTTGGTGTTGGTGTTCTTGGTGGTGTTGGTGTTGTTGCCATTGCTGTTCTTGTTGTTGTTGGTGGTGCTGTTGCGGTTGCTGCTGCTGTTGTTGTTGCTGCTGTGAATATTGTGTTTTTGGTTGGGGTTGCAGTTGTTGTTGCGGTTGTTGTTATGGTTGCGGTTGCGGTTGGGGTTGCAGGTTGTTGGCTGTTGTTGGTTGTTGTTGGCTGCTGTTGTTGTTGCTCTTGTCCTTCTTGCCGTTCTTGTTGTTACTGTTGTTCTTCTTGGTGTTGTGGTTGTTGGTGTTGGTGTTGTTAACGTTGTCGTTGTCGTCGTCGCTGCCGCTCCTTCTGTTGTTCTCGGTATTGTTGTTGTCGTTGTTGTTGCTGTTGTTGTTGTTGTCAATGGTTGCGCTGGTGCTAATGTTCATGTTGTTTTTGCTGTTGTTGTTGCTGGTGTTGCTGGTGTTGCTGGCGTTGCTGGCGTTGCTGGCGTTGCTGGCGTTGCTGGCGTTGCTAGTGTTGCAGACGTTGCTGGTGTTGCTGGTGTTGGTGTCGTTGTTGTCGCTGTTGTTGCTCTTGTTCTTGTTGTTATTGTTCTTGTAGTTCCTGCCGTTCTTGTCGTTCTTGTTGTTCGTGTTGCGAGGATGTTGTGGCTGTTGTTGTTGT